TTTTTTTTAACACACTCCAGATTCTTCTAACTTGGTGACACCAACTGTGACATTTACAATTTTTTTGTCTACCCTTCTGCTTATTCCTTTCAGAAGATGTTCATTTGCTGGACAGTTTGCATATCAACCAAAGAGACAAACAACCTGTCCATTTCAAAAGATGTTCAGGTTTATACGATACTCTTTTTTTTAACTCAACAAAGGTAGGATTGACTTTTTACACAGACTAGCTTCACTTAACATTACACTATAGCAAATTTCCCTGCAAAAAGAATAACACTTTTAAAGCATGTTGTCCTCTTTTGATATATGCAATTTCTACTATATTTCAGGGTTTAAGGAAAACACAAAAAACCTTAAATGAAGCAACAAACATAAAGCATGCAGATGTAATTCAAAGCAAAATAAACACAAGCTGATTCAGCACCTCTGGCTCACGACTTCTTCCCCTCTCTCTTCATGTCTACATAGTTCATGTATGTTCAATATTTCAAAAGGACAGGGGAATATACCAACTATGCCTCAGAGAGGAGAAAACAAGGAGAGAAGCGGGGGGGGAAGAAAATCCCAGCACATGGTTTTCACCACTACTCTGCTGAATCAACAGGGAGCAGATTCCCAGATGGCGTACACTGGTTAAGTACTGCACAAGTCAATGAAGCTATGTCAAACGATGCCACCCAACTGCATTATCTTTTGAGCTCCGTGTAAACAAACAGGAGCAGATTCTGAATATTTGTGAGAATACATCATGTTACTGTCTCCATATGTTTAAACGTTTTAGTAGAAGGTACATATGGACCACTCTTCCCACTCACTGTCATTCTCTCCCTCCTGCTCATTCCCATACACCGTATCTTTTCAGGCCACTGTCAAACCAATTCAAAAAGGAATAAGGATACATTTTCATTAAAAACATTTTGTGCTTAGCTGCCATCTGCTTCCTTATCAGCCTCCAAATCCTCACATGCCTCTTCCATGCTCTTCAGTTTCACACATTCGGAAGCTGAAAGTTTTCTTCTGTTGTGTTGTGAAGTGCCATCTACGTGAGCTACATTTGAAAATTTGATTTTTTTTTGTTTTTCACATCAAATTCTCCTGTTTTGAAACAAGTGCTTAATACTTACGGCCCTAATCCACATTCTCTCTACAATGCCAATTAAACCTACTTTTTTTAATGTCAGTGGCAAATTTAATCTCAAAGGTCCCTCATGCACTTCAAACACAACAAAGGTGAGTATGGGAAGCACAGCTATTTTGTCCCCTTTGTGCAGCACTATAATTTGCTGTCTCAAAGGGAAGACCCAGACTTCCAGACTGTGCTCGTCCTCTCACACAGAAGCCACAGTTGAAGCCATCAACCCTTCATAGCAGGTGTTAACAGTCTGTCCTCCCCATAACCAGACGCTTAGTCTTTCTTTTATCTGAGTAGGAAAGGAAGGGTTTCAGCTAGTACTTGACAGAGAGCATCTCCAACTTAACTGGGGGGTGGATGGAAAGCAGACGAGTAACTAAGATGAAGCTAAAAAGAAAAGAAAAAACACACCCATACACCATAGATCTTCTATATGGATTCCTGCTAGTTTTGTTACTACCTTCCCACATAAACAGTTTGCCTGGTTCATTTCTTACGGCCCGAGCAAATGCAGAAGTATCTTAGGAAGCATTAGGTGGACTTTTGTGAAAAACACCACAAAATTTATGGTACACAAGGGATCCTGAACTTCCAGGCAGGCTTTCAAGGTTGTGATTTACATTTGGTTTCTGCAAGCTTACAAAGGCCTAATGACTAAGGCAGCAGACCTCAAAACTTAGTCATCAGCAAACACAATATAGAAAACAACAAAAGTTTTCTTTACATTAGACCAATGGACAAGCAAAGCAAGCGTGTCACCAGAGACTACTCTTTCAAGGGCTATAGCAGGAACAGTTTTTCTGGTTCTCACATCAATCGCCGAGTAAGATGCAGACAGCTTCCGTAAATGTTTCCAGCAGTCACAACTGCCAGGAAAAAAAACCAAAAGGCCATAATCTTATTTGTATGTCTGGACTCTCAGTTTTTATCTTTTTCCATCTCTACCTGTGGCCCAAAGCAGAATCAGTGATGCAAACAATTACAGTAGTCTCCTTTTATCTTGAGAGATTCTTACATGTGGACCTGCAACCCAAGTGTAGTACAGCTGGCATTTGATACACCAAAAGAAAAGTAGGTGCAAGTCAGAGAGATGATAGCATGCCAAACAACATGGCATGCCGTGGCTCCAAAGCCAGCAAACTAGTAAGGCTGCTGCCTTGGGGCACTCGAAGGTAAAGGAATGTATACTACACAGAAACCAGGGCAACAAAACTGGCAGAGAAGCTGCTGACGATTTACGCTGAACCTTAAAGAATAAAAAAAAATAAAAAATAAAGTTACAGCTTCTTTGTAGCTTGTTGTACTATAGAAATGTCAATGGATTATTCTAAGTCAAACACAGCATATCCTTCCCTCTCTCTTCCCTCCACCCTCGACGTTGTTCCTGCACAAGTTATATTGAAGGAAGCACAGGGTTCTTCCTTTGTTTGTGAGCAAGAAAAAGAAGGGAAAAAAACAACTTCCACTCAACGGCAAAACTAAACAGAAGACAGTCTACTTGAAGTACTAGGTGTTCCCACACAACATTTACCCACCAACTTGAGATCTTTCCGCGTAAACAAGGACAAAAGTGATTTAATATCCACTCCTCCACAGATCCAGAGTGAAGAAAAATAAAAAGGCATAAAGGAACCCTGAGTGACAGACAGCATTTTTAGTTTAACATTACTGTGACGCACAAGGAGAATGTCAGGGTTAAATTAGATACCACACTAGAAAAATATTCCCTGGAAAATAACATAGGTCTCTTATCTCTACTGATAGGAAAACGCAGATTTAAACACTTAGTGTTTATAAGTCCTCGCTTCTATTAGTTTTCATAGAAGTGTAATTTTTCATAGTCTTGTGTAATTCTGTACTGCAAGAGAATATCTACATCAGTTCATTGCCAAAGCGCCTAAACAATCTAGCAGGACAGACAAGAGTCTTCCTTTTGAACAACCACACATTTATACCTCACTGGGGTTTTTTTTTTTTTCCCCAGAATGGGAGTACTTTTGGGGTTCGTTTTGGTTTTTGTGGGTGGGTTGTGGTTTTTTTTGTGGGTGGTTTTTTTTTTTGGATGAATGGCTGGGAAATTTAAAGTCTTATTCCTTGTAGTCAGTGGCTTATCACGACAAACAGATTAAAAAAGTCCAACTTTCTGACTTCTTTTATTGATTAGAACTATCCTAAGATATTCTAAGCCTACACTGTTTTTCCACAATGTAATGCTCTTAACAAGCCTTTCAAAGCTCTTTTCCAATACTTGCTGCCTTCTTCACAATCTCCCACAACAGGAAGATGAAAGCATATAGTCAAAGAAAAACATTACCTAGATCCTTGCTCTAAAAGTGCTGCCATCACAGTGTAACTATGACCTCATCTTACTTAAACAGATCTCTTCTCACACACATTTGGGATCCAAATTATTTTAACAGTCCCCTAGAAGTCAACAAGATTTTCTTGCACATTACTTGTGTCTACTCGAAACAGCCAGAGCACACAACAGAAAGCAAATAAGATGTTACATCTCATTAAATACACTCCAGTTACCACTAAAGGCAATAAGGTTGCACAGGAATCACCAAGGTCACCCTCTGTAGACAGCAGAGTTACACACTTTTAACGAAGACATAAATTTGGCCTGCAGAAGCCTAAGGACTCATAGCAACATATGGTAAGAAAGCAACACAGCTCACCTCCCTCACCTTGGGCAAATCACAAAGACTCCCAGTAACAGGATGATGAGCTTTCTTTTCTTTGTTTAAAAACAAACTCTATTTCCTGTAAGAATTATTGATAAAAAGGACGGCCCTACAAATGCCTTTTTTTCCGAGATATTTTTGGCATGTGTTGACTGAAACCCTAACAAGGTAATTTAATTTCAGTTCTAATCAAACATGAGGGTTTCACAAGCAACTGATGAGCCAATTCCTAAAAAACAGCTTCCCCAAACAAAGGTAACCTGAACATCACCCTGTTCCTGTTTTCTCTCACGTTATGGTGTTTGCTGTCATTATAACAGCTTTGGTCAAGACTCCCAAGTGGAATTTGGGAACTGTACCTCTCAGTGACGACTGCTTGTAATTAAGCCCTACTGATACAGCGGGGCTCAGCTTTCATAAAGATACAGAATGAACTCAAAAAGCCTGCCATGTAATCATGTTATTTGAGTAAACTATGTATTTGTTTACTCTATTTTTAAAAAGTGAGAAGAGATCAGGTTTTGTTTTTGCTAATACTTGCTATCAGAAAGACATAAACCCCATCATACCAGGTAAAAACAAAACAGCAAAGGGTAATTTCACCGAGAGTCAAGATAATCCATTGACTCTTTGACACTACAGACTGTACTGTACAAACTGATTTCAGTAAAAAACTTCTTAAGTACAGAATTTACCATTACAGGAATTTCTGAAGGTGCGTGCCAAGGGAGGCAAAGAACGAAGTCAAAGCAACTCTAGTTAACAGCTTCAGTACAGCAATGACTCTGGCACACACGTAACGTCATTTCGGCAAAGAGGAGGAGATGGCATTCGACAGCCACCTCTGCCATAGTCCTCAAGGGAGACAAAACTGGTTCCAGCTTTACTATAATGGCTTTAATTCTACACTTACTTTGAAACTTTTCCATGGGGAAGCAACCCCGAAAGTTTGTGGGGTTTTGTTTCATTGTTGTTGGTTTTGTTTCATTTTGTTTTAAATCAAGTGAGATGAGCCTTTACTGGCTGGGGAAGAATCCATCTGTGTGGTAACTACATAGAGGACTATAAATGACTAGAATAAAAATTCAAGTATCTAAAAAGCTTAAAATAAAACCACAAAATTAAACCTTTACTTCAGAAAGAGGTAACAAAAAACACACAATCTACTCAAATCTTACTTTTCTGGCAGTGGTTGGTGGTCCAGCAGCGGTAGTTGTACTCATTGTTTATAGACGTCTTCTCACACAATGGCTTCTCTTCCATTGTTCCTGGACACAAGTCCCCACATTCCTTTGGAGGTTTATTCCCAACGATGTAGTTGTTGGACACTGCATCTAAGATGAGAGACCAGTCCACCGTGGAGAGGTAACACAGGTCAGAGTTCTTCTCAATCCGTATGGCCCCGCGGGTTATGTTCCTCAAGTTGTGAAGCCCAATCTCTTTAAGATTTGTCATTTCAAAGATAACCAAGGCATAGTTGTAGAAGAGGTTCCTCCCACGAATGACCGTGAGGTTGGGGAAGAGATCACTGAGGCTTTCCAAGCCTGCCACACGGAACAGCAGCAAATAGTCAGTTATGACAGTGAGCTTTGGGAAGCGGAAGTTGCGGTAATCCTCTGCTTTAGAGATGAGCAGAATTTGAAGGAAACCCTCAATTACCGTACAGTTCTCCAGGCGTTTCAGCTCATGGATATCATTGCGAATGTCAACATTTGGCCCACAAACTGAAAACATAAAAGGAGAAAGGAAAGTTAGTAAATAAGGCATTTTTAAGTCTTTTAAAATTGGAATGCAAGTAGGATATTCTGATGGTCATAAAATTTTTAGCTTCTTAATTAGGTTGCAATGTTAAAATAGGAAATGAGTACTTGATTTACACCTACATTGCATATTCATCTCATTTAACCTATCACTATAAAACACTACCAGGACCAGAATATAGATGCAAGCTATCTATATTCTGCAGCAGACAGAGAAATGTTTTATTATTGCTGTTGAAAAAGAGCTGCATTACATTGAGGAACATAAAGATAAACTGAATGCATTGTACACCCTTCTTCAAATTACACCATGACACGTGTGACCAGACCAGGCGTTCAGCCACATGACTCCAAACAAGTTAGGTAACAGAGTGTGATCCACTGTTCATCACGTTACCAATTTACCCTCTACCCTTCTTAAGATACGTGCATATAAGAGGGGAACACTTTCCAGAAAATTACAGCTTATTTCTCAAATCATTCTTTCTTCCCAGGGTCACAAGCCAAACTAGCCCCAATTCTTGAATGCTAGTCTTGCAATAGATCAGCAACAACACAGAAAATCCACAGAAAGCTGCTCAGCACTTCCTGCACTGTGACTGGGAAGAAAAGAAAGTGCTTGGACTTGCAGCTAATGCACTGAATTCCTGTTGCAAGTTTCACTGATTTTGGCATCAAGATAGGAAAAAGTTTCTTGAGTTCTAAGAAATGCAGGGTTAAATTTATTTACAAAAACACACAGCATCGCAGTGAGGAATTTCCCCTGAAAACATGCACACTCAAGACGACAATGATCAAAAGGATTATTCCCTAATAAACCTATATATTAGGTCTTTCCATACTAGATATGTACTATAATGAAAATTTTAAAGAGATTGGAATAAAAGTGTGCTAATAATGTAATAATTAGACACACAAAATACACTCTGATGTAAAACAAAGAGCTACAGAGCATAGAGAGCTGCTGTTCTTGGAAACCTCAGACTTGGTCTTCTGTGGAAAACACTGAAAAAAGATTCCCCAGAATAGATAGTATGTTGCTTGTAAGCAAACAAAGTAAAATGCCAATTCATTTAAGCAACCCAAAACTTAAATAAACCCCAAGCAACTCCATTTTGTGGAAAGGTTCTCTTTTTATGCACGCTAGGCTTAATTATTTTAACACCACCTTTTCCTCAGACAAGGAAAAGGTCTAAACAAACACTGGAGCCAAAAAACTTAAATTCTAACACAGACAAATTGTCCAGAGATTCAGAAATTGCACTGAGAACAGAAAGCAGTCCTCCCATCCCACAGCACTTATCTAAGGCTAATAACTTAAGCTAACAAAGGATCCAGAACATGAGCATGCTAAAACCACAGCAACTCTAATATCCAACAAGGACTTAAAGACTTTTAAGTCTTTAAAAAACTAAAGGACTTTCTTGTTAGAGGGACAACATAAAAAAACAACACGGCGAGATCTCTGTTAAGAAACAGATGTTTTCTACACAAACTATTACCCAATTCCCCTTCTGTGAAGATCCAAGCTGAAAGCAGAGGCTATTAAAATGTCACTTGCTGCACCAGAAGCAGCGATGTACAAGAAAGTCCATTCACTAAACCCTTAAAAAAAAAAAAAAACACA